TTCCTCTAATGCGAGGACATTGCACAAGTTTATACTACCTCCAAATTTGATGCATAATTCATCGTTCAGGGTTAAGGTCCATATTAGACAGATTTCCTTAAGGAAGTCAGAAAGCACTATTCTATTTTATTCTTCGTTGTTCTATTGCATTGTTCTGATATTCCTCTTTATTCTAAAATATTCCCATATGTTACATCATAAATTACAGTTGGGCCACACTGATTTAATTTTATGGATGACATCCTCTGAAGACCCCAAAACTAATGCGAGAGAGCGAAAAAAAAATCCTGCCAAAAAAAAAAAAATGTGTTGCTAAAACCACAGGACCACGGAACTGTTATTACGAATTGAACCACAGTGTATCAAAAAAACAACAAGTCTTTATTTGTAGGAGGCACATGTTGATGTACACATCTCGTTACTGTATTACTGTCACAGGTATCATCACCTTTGATTTTGAAAAGGCAGGAGGATAAGGCAGATGTTAGCTTTGCCAAAGGCATACACATCAACTCAATAGTAAAGAAAAAAATACTGTGTTGTATTGAAAAAAAAATATTAAAAATGAACAATACGTTTGTCAACAGCAACCTGGAAATTAACTTCTTTGACATTCAAACTACAGCTTTTAAAGTGACACTTCAGATAGACTAAGTGTAGACACAAATGCTCTAGAACTACTTCAACTCTGTAACAAATTATAAGAGGCTCAATATTGTAAAAAAAAAAACACCAACAGAGAGTCAACAAAAATTTGGATGCAGAAAATTATGTACATGTATCTTGATGAAAATTTGTCATATGATCAAAATAAGGGGACTTCGGCCGAGGAGCTTCCGCTGCTTTCGTTGCAGTTTTGTCGACTTCAATGCGGGCAAAGCAACCGAACTGACTTTTCGTCTGTTCGACTTTTAGCCACCATACACTCCATTCCTCTCCCATTTCTCTCATCGTATAGCTGTGTAAACGTCACATCTCCCAGCCCAACGTCAATTGCGTACCAGTCTACAACAATCCCTCCGTTTTATCCCTTGAACTTTTATGCTCACGTATTTTGGTGCCATGATCGCCATGACAAAATTGGCATGTTTTGAGACAATTTCCTTCCCATAGGTCTTTGCGCTTTACGTAACGCGCATCTTAACTGTGCGGAGTTTGGTTTTGAGTTTAGAGGTAGTCCAAAATGAGTTTTACCTGTTTAACGACAAGTCGGCGCTTTGCGACAATATGAGTCGGCAAGTTCCGGACAGAAAACCGATCTGTGGAGACTCATCGTCGGAGATTTTTTTTTTTTGAGACCAGGCGAAAACTGATGCGCGCGGATGTCATCAATAAAATTAAGTCGGTGTGGCCTTGGTATAATACACAATTTAAATACTTATCCTTATATCTGCCAAAACATGTATATTCCGTATTTATACTTTACATTATTTCTTTGTCAATATCCTCCGTGTTCTGCAGACGTATTTGAAACTGCCTATTCGCTCCATTGTGCAGTCGTCGATTTTGTATTTTACGTTAATAAATAAATAAAATATTGAGAAAGCATAAAAAGACTTATTTTCAAATACATGAATATGTCATGACTAATTCATTTTATCATAGACAGGATTTGCCCAGAAAATGCCATTTGATGATTTTGAATAACGTATAATAAAGTTAATGA